GGAGAATGGTTTGTCAAAATGCTTGGGGTAGTGAAACAACCCGCGTTCTTGAGACTGTTCCTGGGGCAAAGCGACTTGGGTGGGGCCGGCTGGCTAGAGAACTGACTACCCTTGAAGCAGCTGCATGGAGGAAGGTGATTGTTGGCGGTGCAGTGGAGCCATCACGTTGCAACTTCAGTGCTTGTGCAGTTGGTAATCGGGTTGTCTTGTTTGGTGGAGAGGGGGTTAACATGCAGCCTATGAATGACACCTTTGTGTTGGATCTAAATTCTAATAACCCTGAGTGGCGGCATGTCAAAGTGAGCTCTCCACCTCCAGGTCGTTGGGGTCACACTCTATCTTGCGTGAATGATTCAAACCTGGTTGTTTTTGGTGGTTGTGGAACTCAAGGCCTGCTTAATGATGTTTTTGTCCTCGATTTGGATGCCAAGCAACCAACCTGGCGTGAAATTTCTGGATTGGCTCCTCCTCTTCCTAGATCATGGCACAGCTCTTGTACACTTGATGGGACCAAGTTAATTGTGTCGGGTGGATGTGCAGATTCAGGGGTACTGCTGAGCGACACTTTTCTTCTTGATCTCTCATTGGATAAGCCCGTGTGGCGAGAAATTCCAGCAGCTTGGTCTCCACCTTGTCGTCTTGGCCACTCATTGTCAGTTTATGGTGGGAAGAAAATCTTGATGTTTGGAGGTTTGGCTAAGAGTGGACCTCTTCGCTTCCGTTCAAACGATGTATACACAATGGACTTGAGTGAGGAAGAGCCATGCTGGAGATGTGTTACTGGAAGTGGGATGCCAGGTGCTGAAAACCCTGGAGGCATTGCTCCTGCTCCTCGGTTGGACCATGTAGCTGTGAGCCTTCCAGGTGGTAGGATCCTAGTGTTTGGTGGATCAGTGGCTGGTCTGCATTCTGCCTCACATCTGTATCTACTTGATCCTACTGAAGAGAAGCCAACGTGGAGGGTGCTAAATGTACCAGGTCGACCCCCGCGATTTGCTTGGGGACACAGCACTTGTGTTGTTGGGGGCACGAGAGCTATAGTTCTTGGTGGTCAGACAGGAGAAGATTGGATGTTAACTGAGCTTTATGAGTTATCCTTAGCAAGCAAAGTTGAACTTGAGGATCTGCTATAGCTAAAACATCAGCGTCATTTCTTCCTGGAAGTAATAAAAGATGAAGGATGTCGTTGATTATACGTATCTGTTCAACAGCCAAATTTGCTGTTGTCCAGACTGCAGATAGAATTTGTCATCGGCTGTCTCAGCCTCAGGTGGGTACTCTTGGGCGAGCTCTGGGTTTGCGTCTTTTGTCAGATTGACTTCATTCCAGCTTTTGATTTTTTGGGTTTGTATGAAGTTTCACTCTGAAAATATGTGAATCATTCTTCCACTTTTTACTGCAGATCTTTTAGGTGGGTTAGTTCCTATAGTGTAGGTTGTCACTTTGCTATTCTTCTTGTTCTAGATCCTGTGCTTTTTTTCCCCCTCCTGTTTGAGGTCTGTAGTAGTTGTCTAGGATAATGGGCAAAAATAAAGTTTTTTTTTAAAAAAAAAAAAAGGTAAGATGGAAAGCGGGTTTTTACTGCTTTAGTATGCATCTGTAGTGAGAAATACGCTTTTGCTCTCTAATTATCGTACAAAGATCAATCTCTCTTCAGGTTTATACATACTGCAACTGAGGAGGTTCTGATGAGAAGCTGAAGCTGAAGTCCGGTTTTATTACTGCAATAGATTGATTTTACTATATTTTTGTTCTATTTTACTGCTGAAAATCTATCTGAAGAGTTTTCTCTTTCATTCACATATTTCTAATTTACACATCTATTCATTTTGTGGCGTGAGTTGCTGCATTTTCTGCAGTCATCTCGCCTGCTGATATTTATTCATTTTTGTCATGCCTTAAGATTTTTATTATAGCCTGTTGTCATATTCTTTTCTTTCAGTCCAGTTAAGCATTAGAAATTTTCAGTTTGTCCAGGTGATACAATATCCAATATACTTTGTAGTTAAGATGTGAGAGTTAATGATATAATCACGCGTTCATTTCATGTACTTTCTCCGTTTTTTTAGTTGCATCACTTTTATAATTGCAGACTCCTAGACAATTTTTGGATATAAAGAGGGCCCATGTGATAGAACAGATATAAAGAGAATTTATTAACTAAAAGGGAAATTGATGCATCTAAATTGAAACTTCTATTTTAAAGAGTGATGCATCTAATAAAAAACGGAGGAAGTAATTAAAGCTCAATATATGTACTTTTAGTTGCTTTATAGATCTACCCAAAAACCCCAGAAAGGGTGTCTTTGGCAAATTCAATAAACAGATGGTGGTGATTGGTAAATTTAATTAGCATCTCTTATAAATTAATAATGGTACCTTGTGGTCCTTTTTGACAATTGCTCCATGTTCATGTCTGCTCATGGTACATTGATACCATACCCATTGCCAAGGTGGTAACAATTTGAAAAAGAGATGATAAAACAAGTTTAGTAGACTTGTTCTTTTCAACCTATTCTAAACAAAAGAAATTGACATATTCAAAAGCAAAACAAATACTTTATCCGTTCCAATAATATTGCAACAATTGGATTTTTGCACTATTCATCAATCTTGTTTGACCATATAATATGATTTATACGTTAAGCAAATTATAGTGATCTTGTTCGATTCACCTCATAAAATACTTTCGCAATATCAACTTTTTATAATTTTTACTCTTATATAATTATAGATATTTAACATATAAAATGTGCTTTAGAATGCGTAATTTCATCCTTGTTGCAATATTATTGAAACGGAAAAAGTACCATATAGAACTGGGTCAAATAAGACAAGTGCATTAAAAATAAGTCGAATGAATCAAACTCATAACATATAGAAATACATTTATTTTGAAACAAATTGGCCAAAAAAAAAAAAAAAAAAGAAGATGGCAACCTTTTTTATTTTTTTATTTTTTTTTATCCCAAGTTAGGAGAAAAACCTTGACTAAACCTTAACTTTTTAAAACAACATATATAATTCTCCTTCCTTTCTCTCCTCCTTCCTTTCTATAAAACCCTAGCCTCCATTATTGAATTTTGAAGGGGCTTTCATCGGTTTTAACCGGTGGAAAGCCCCAATCCTTGTTTCTTTAAAGTTTTTTTAGGTTTATAATAATGCTTCCTCCTTTTGGGAGGAACTTTTCTCTCTCGAAAGAAAAGGTTTCTGATTTCCTTCAAAAGACAAGATTTTTCGACCTGCTTTGAAAGACAAGGTTTATCTCCTCTTTTTAGGGGAGAAATTTTTTAGTTTTGAATCCATGATATTAGATCTAATGGATTGTCGTGAAATTATTTCGTTGGTGAAAAAGTTATCAAGTTTTAGAATACAGATAGATGAATCAGAAGAAAAACATCCTCACGGCTACAAAGGATCGTTAGATTGTCTCTCCAACAAGGCTGTATTTTCCAGCGATATAAGCGGGAGATGTTCCACAGTGCAAGATCTACTCGACGATCGTAGTTTTTAAGAAGGAAAATTTTATATGATTCAATATCTTATGTATTTGTTAACGTCAAATCTCTATTGTAGATGTCGTATGACTTTTAATCAATGAAATATTTTTGCTACTAGAGAGAGAGAGACAAAAACCTAACTTTTCACGTTTTTTTGGGTTGAATTTTCAAGCCAAACAATATGAAGTAGGTAGAAAGTAAGAATTTCTCTACGCTACAGCATCCTTAATCTTGAACAATGGGGTTCCGTCCAAAAAGATGCAAAGACATCTATGTTTATCAAGGAGCAATTCAGAACCGACGCCATTATTTTAAAGGTGTTTGATACTTGTATTGAGTTTTTAGATCCGGTAAGAAAGATTGTAAGTGTTGTATATTTTTTATTATTTATTGAAATCACCCCTCTCTATTCAAAAATAAATAAATAAATAAATAAAAATAAAAATAAAAAGCATCCTTAATCTTATCGAGTAAGACGGATATTGTACGTTTTATAATAAATTAGGAAGAGTGTGGTATACAATAGGCTAACACAAATTCTTATATGTAGCTGGCCACACCGTGTGGCCACCATCATAGGGGTTACCTCGTTATTGCTATAGGGGTTACTTCGTCAGTGTTACACGGGTTACTTAATCAGTGTTACCCGGTTGATCAGTATTATAAGAGTTACTTTGTTCTTTTATAAGCATATGGTGTGGTCAGGTGCACACAAGATGAGCTGATAGGCTAAGCTTGGTATCAACATAGTACATAAAAGTCAGTATTTTCGGATTGGATTAGTTTTTATCGTCGAAATCGGGGTTTTAACCCTCCAGCCTATCTTTGAAAAGTGATTGGAATCTCCTATCCTCCCTCACTCAAAATTGGTCCTTAATACTACCTCCGTTACATATTAATTGCAACTTTGAAATATTTTATATCTCGCAAATAATGTCTCAAAGTTGCAACTAATATGTAACCCTACATGTGGATGCATCCTTTGGTGGTGCTATGGTCCATGCAAAGCAAAAAAGCTAAGCAACGTGGTTCGGAGGATTCCAGGAGAAGATTCATGCCCCTGATGTCTTATGTAACTTTGTTATCTTTGCTCAAAAAGCCGAATTCAAAGAAGCCTATCTTCTTTGGTCTATCCGAGAATTTCGAGTACTTCATTATCTATTCTACAAAAAGAAATGCATTATCATTGCTTATGCAACATGATTTTCAACAAGTCTTGAACAACAACTAGTTACCAATGTACCGGGATTCGACCTGAATTTAACAGGAAGTGATGTTCATTTCTTTAGACTCGCAGTTGCTGTGGCGAGGGGTTAACTTTGAGGAGTCAATGAATAGTCTATGAACCTTATCGCCAAACCTGTGCAAACTTTTCCACCTTTTTCCGCCAAACACTGAACCCTAAACCCTAAAATAAATTGAATAAAATTAAACCTGCAATGCTTAGGTAACCCTTAATGTTACTTAAGATGCTGTTATTTGATCAATGCTTATGAAAGATGCAAGAAAATCAACAGAATAAAATTAGTTGTAAGAATTGGATTACAAACATTTATACAGGAGCATAAAGTAATTATTTGATGTGCCATGAAAAAAAGAAAGAAGGAAAAGAAAAAAGGGGCAGTACTATGCTCTGATGCTTGGATTCGGGAAAAGAAAATGAAAATTTTAGAAAAATGTCCTTTTATTTCTTCACTTTCTCAAGAATATGAGATGCACTTTTGAGGATTACGTGGATATCCCCAGATGCCCAAGATTAGCTGTACAAAATTGTCCTTGCATTGTCATAAACAAGGGGTTCCTGTAACTAAGATTAGAGAGCAAAGATTTCTCATTAGTCGCTAATCATCAGCGGCAATTGCCAGAATATACAACTTTTCATTGTATCACAACAAAATTGATTAATCCCAAGTAGATCTCTCCTTCGACTGTATACATGCATTAGAACTCGACCAATAAGCTACAAGCAACTTTGCTAAGTATGGTAGGTTAAAAGAGCAGTTGAGTAGTTGAGCTTCAGTCCTTGCTCATCCTTAGGCAGTAGGCATGGCAGCAGAAGGGCATTTCCCCAATGTATTCCACAAAATATACTCCCCTGAAGTAACCTGTCAAGTTGAAACACGCTTCACATCAGTTGATCAGATAAATTTTGGGCAAAGGAAATTACCCCAGAGAGGGGGAGGGGGGAACATTGATATGAAAGTCTACTGTTACATAATTTTGTTCAAACATAATATATGCAGACCAAATCGCACAGACGAGTTGCCTCCTCAATTGTAGCTAATTAGCTATCCTACATAGTTTACTAAATGCCACAACACATAGAGATGCCCCAAATCCAAGTGCCACCAATTGGTCAGTGCCATAAATAACTGTGGTCCCAAGAATATGTAGTGCTTACATAACAAAGTATTACAAAAGGTTCAGTGCCTTGAGTCTTATGACTCATCTGAAAAGACACACAGCAGAGCACCCCAAAAAGCCAAAAGGCTCCTTTTGCTTTTTTTGGATGTTAAAACCAAGAGTAGCTAAAGCTTACAAATGAAGCAAGAAAGGAAGCTCATACACTATCCACATCTACAAAGCATCCAAGACATACATGCTCCAGGGAGCATAGCTAATGATAGTTAATTTGGAAATAATTCCAAGTTCAAGAATATGCTAGAGACGACATCTTTACTGCACAATGATGCAAGCAATAGGAGGCTAAAATTGAGTGTGGGGAGAAGGGGAGGTGCTCTTTTATCACACAAGGATGAAAGCAACAGAAAGTGTGAGTGTATTTAAGGAATGCTTAAGATTGATTGCGCAAGGATACAAGCAACAGAAGACTAAAAAAAGAATTAGCAAAAGCTATTTACTTAACTCATAACAAGTGCCAAGTTTCAATATAATGCAGGAAACAGATTACCACAACAACAAAGCCTTAGTCCAAATATAATTCAGTGTTTATAAGTGGAATTATAATTGCAATTATAAACAGGAAAGTTACCTGAGTAGAAAACTCAATAGGCGCTTTAACAGCAGGATAGATGTTTACCTGATGCAAAGCATATAACAGTATAAGAAACAAAGGCAATCCACAACTTGATCAATGAACCTACAAATAAGAGATAAACTAGGACAGGATTGACTACATCAACAAGACACTACAGCAGATCCACGCAGGTGGTGAAAATTGCAAAGAGAGAGGAGATTCCAAAATTCCATGTCAGTCGCTTGTCCTGTAGTAGTCACTAGAAAAGTAATGAAAATTGCTTCTAAGAAAATCAAAAGTTTAGTCCTAATATATGGAAACAAGAACATGTTGAATGGTCTAGTAGTTTAAATGACAGGTTGTTGGTAGGGTACATCTGATGTAAGATGATTGTGATGAAGTGTGGTGTTCGCCCCTTGGCCTAGATTGAGGAAGCCTTCTTAAATGATTCCTTGCCTTTGGAACTTAGAGGGTATGCGGTATGCCCTCTCTTTTCTTTTTATTTTTGTTCTTTATATAATTAAAATTTTAATGATGTATACTTGTTTTTTCCTAGAATAAAAAGCTGTCAGGACTTGGAGGCTAGAGGGTTAAATACTCAACCAACAAACAAATAGGAGAGCTAGCAGCTACCAAAAGCAGTACATAACACCACTTATATACACACTCATATATATAGTATGTGCTGTGTCTGGAGATATAAGCCGCATGCTATTTTGGTATGTCCATAAGAAGTCAGTTAATAAAAAAAAAGTAAGAGAAAATTAGGATATTCCATGACGCCCTCATATGAAATGAGTAAGGAGGAGAGAGAGAGGAAGTGACATATATCCTGTGTCTGGAGACATAAGTCGCATGCTATTTTGGTGTCCATACGTTGTCAGTCTATAAAATAGTAAAAGAGAAAAATAGGATACTCCATGACACCCTCATATGAAATGAGTGAAAAAGAGGAGGGGGGGGGGGGGGGGGGGGGCGGGGTTGGTGGTGGTGGTGTGGGGGAAGAGAGGAAGGGACATCATACGTCCTGTGTCTGGAGATATAAGTCGCATGCTATTTTGGTTTGTCCATAAGAAGTTGTCAGTTTATGTAATAGTAGAAGAGAAAAATAAGATACTCCATGACACCCTCATAGGAAATGAGATGTGACAATTAATTCTAGATGGAGAGAGTAAAACGGTCATGCCGAAAGGATACATAATCAAATAATCTCCAACTGTATGCATTGATGTTACACACACATAGCAAGAATAATCAAATAATCTCCAACTGCATTGATATTACACACACATGGAAAGAATCAAACCTCTTGTCTCCTACCTAGATCCAAGAGTCTGATTCTGGTCAACACATATACTCTCTCTCTCTCTCTCTCCCTATATCTCATTTCAATGTAACTCATTGTCTAACTACCCAAATATTAGAAAACAGAAGCACTTTATATACATACTTGTTGGTAAGTCTGTATGGGACTTACCATTATTAGCTCACACAACTTGTCCAAAGACATGTCAACCAAAACCCATAATCCCATATTATCTCATATTAGGCCATCACTGATGGAATTCTATCTCCAACAATCTCACATGATCATCTTCATGCAACCAAGAAAGTTCAAAATAATATAGGGAATATATCACAGGATATAAATATCAAATGAATCATCTTGCAAGTCCCAAAAGATTCCCATGACAATTCCCCATCCTCCGCTTCTCTTCCACCCAAAAAAGGAGCATAAAGAACGATGGTTGAAAATTATCAATTACCATGTCAGTTTGACATTGCCATGATGGTTTAGTCAGATCACTTGAGTTAGTATCAAAACTATATAATTGCTAAGAAATTTTTTGATCAATATCTTTTGGGACCTGAAATGGAAGTCCTCTTAATGAAAAACTTTAATACCCTCGCAAGATATCATAGCAGCAACTCAGCAAGGCAAAATCTGGAGTAAGTAGAAAGGGACAAAGCTATGAACTTACATGTTTCGTATCAACAGACATTCCAGATGATGAAGCCCCCATGATTTTGAAGGACACCTGAAAAAACATGAACCAAAATAAAGGTAAGATGATATGCCAAGCCTATCTGATCACACATCAAGGAAAAAAAAAAGAGAGAGAGAGAGCCAAACACCAAATCACAGACACCAGTAGAATTTTATTAATAAGACTGTCTTTACATATTTGGAACGGCCTTTATATAAATAAAAAGTATTAAACTGCGTACATCCAACCTTCCTGACCCAATACACTAATGGTTCAAAAGAGTTGGGTCTATGTACCTTAGCATAGTCATAAGCCTGCCAACAAAATGGTTCTTCTAAATCGATTGGTGGCAGATCTTTTCTCATCTTTTCTTCCAGAAACTCCTCAATATTAACACCATTATTTGCATTCTCCATTTCTGTATCACTATCTTCATCATATCTTGTCCCTCTTACTGAGCCAAGAGATTTTTGCGACCGTAAGCGTGCAAATTTAACAGTTCCTGGAAATGTTGCCTCAACACTCTTTCCTGAAGCTCCCCTCCCACTTGTAATAATTTTCCACTCAATTGAGTGATCTGTAGAAGACACAGTTCCAATAGATGGTGTCCCACTGAAAGAGACTACCTTTTTTCGAGGAAAGGGCATTGTAATAGTACAAAATTCCATTGCAAGTGGAGCCTTATAACCATCCATAAGTCGTAATTTGAATAAAAATGCACCTTCATTTTCTGACACCATGGAGAGCTGGTAAAATCCCTTGACCGGAGGTCCAAGGTTGCAGAATGTCAAGTAACGCATTAAAGTGAAATTACCAAACGGCGGTGAAAAAACTAGAGATTGCTTATCAATGCCATGCTCTGGAACTTGAACACATGGATGGAATGACAAAACCTCAACGCGAGAGTTGTTCAGGCCAGTCAAGGGAAAGGAAACATCAGGTAACCCCTCCAATTCTGCTCGACAATTAACTTGGCCTGAGATCGAAATGCTATCAGGGATCTCATCACGGTCATACATGGAAGCATTAATTGTCTCATAGATAGTGAACAGAATTCTCTGCTTTCCTCGGTAAAGATAGGGCTTCCAAGCTGGCTGCTTGACATCTGCAGGGGGCACATCTGTGGCAGAGAAGCCATTCAGCCTGATAGCTGAAAGATTGGAGTAGCTGAGGTCCAACAGAGTACCTGCGTTAAAGATACAAGAGCAAGTAATATAATTATAATTTTTTCTTTCGATAAAAAAATGGATAGGATATATAAGTACATGTCAGTGCTATTATCAAATCCATCATCAAATGAAGAATAACATAACAAAAGAAACCAACCAAAGGGCATTGAGCTGCTGATGAAAGATTGTAAAGCATCTTTTTCCAGTGGCCTGGAACCAGCTTTTTGAGCATCTGACAGCACAGAACCAGCTAGAGAAGCAGGAGATGCAGGGGAATTGGGGACTGATGCAGGAACTGGTTTGCCTCTTGCAGATATACTTGATATCCCAATGCTTCCGGTGAGGGAATCAAGCAGCCCTCCTACTGATGGTGATGCACTAACAGCTATCTCAGGTTCAGCAAAATCCCCCGTGATTATGTCTCCGATGACATGTGCAAGCATAAAAGCCCTGACATGTTCAAGAGCCAAGTAGACTAGTCTCAGATATGATATGGATATCAATTTGTAACAAAATACCCAAACACTTTTCTAGCAGCAGGAAAATGAACAGAGAAGACAAGTAACAGCTTTTGTTTTTCTTTTTTAATATTTAGTGTCTGAAACAGTAAATTATTTGACTTGGTGACAGGCAGTTACAAGACTTGCAGCCGAATCAAAATAAATTAATATTCTTTCTAAAATACACTGACAGCTATCTAAAAGATTAAAAACCCAAGAAAATCAAGAGAAACCAAATTACAAGCTTTTACATGTGTCTAAAAGATACAAATCCAGATAAAGAATTAGCTTAAATAAGATTTTCATGGTATCTCCAAGAACGAAAGAAGCCAAAAACATTCATCCCAAAGAGGGCCAAATTTACCAGGGTCGAATTTTCATGAATTTTGTTAAAATTTATCTATAATTTCAGTACACTCTTTTTTCCCCCTAAAACACAACTACATGTAGTAAGCTTTAATGCTCAATGTTCTTGGAAAAAAAAAAAAAAAAGCCTCTATGAAATAAATAAGCAAATGTTGCAAACTTGAAATAATATTAAAGTGTAATATAAATACAGGAAACTAAAAATGAATGTTGGTAATTGGATTTGATCACTAGACAGACCTCTTTACACTCACGCAAAGACTTCCCCCTTAAGGCCTTAACCACTGAAGCAACATTTTGTGATTGATACCTCTATGAAAAAAACAAAAGCCTCAATGAAATAAATAAGCAAATGTTGCAAACTTGAAATAATATTAAAGTGTAATATAAATACAGGAAACTAAAAATGAATGTTGGTAATTGGATTTGATCACTAGACAGACTTCTTTACACTCACGCAAAGACTTCCCCCTTAAGGCCTTAACCACTGAAGCAACATTTTGTGATCGATACCTCTACGACTCTCCAGAGGCTGCACACTATGACATCTGACATATTGTCGACTTGTCGGCAGCCCAGCCTCAAGGTCAGGAGCAAGTCTACATAGTCTAGACCAGTTGTAGGCTCCCACGTCCGTGAATGAAGCGAGAGACGGCGAATAACGCAAGAGCACACGGCTACTCCTCTCAGGTTAAATCGTCCCATAAATTAAGATCAGGACAAAGATCCTCACTCTCTGCTGGACATTGGTCTCAGCAATGTCAGAACCACTAGCCAGAGAAGCCGCTGATACTATCCTCTTGCTCTGACAAGTGCCCTTAGATTGGCGCTGACCGCGGATGACGCTGACAATAAGACCCAACATGTCCTCTACTCCCTAAGTCAACAAACCAATCTCGGGATTCTGAACTACAGGCCTCGAATGAAAGCGCATACCACTAATCACACAAAAGTCAAGAGGGGTCACTGTCATCTCACCGAAGGAAAATGAAAGGTGTTGGTAGTCCCAAAAGTACTCCAACAAACTCCTAACGACTGTCGCCCAAAACCCTCAAGGACTGACAAAAACGGAAACCGCCAAACAGAAGTCAGCTAAGCCACATAATAACCACAATACGCGAGTCACGTCATCCTGCATGATATAAGCCAGGTATCACCTCCCACGAACTAGAACCGCGGTGGCGCAAAGAACAATCAACTAGTTCGATCGATGGACGATGAGCAACATGATGCTCACGACAAAACACGAGCTGGTGAGGCTCCCAAGCACGTGGAGTCCACGTCTTGCTGATCGAAGCAGGTGCGTAACCTCCTCCTCCTCAGCTGTCAAAGGAGTGCATGTCCTCTCTATAGGCCCGAAACTGGCCCCTCGAAGTGGTGTCACGCTCTCTCCGTCTAGGCATGTTGTTTTGTTCAAAAGATACAATCAGGCTCTAATGACTTAGCATCATATCCTAAGTCGAATGAGTTATCTAACGACAGTTTAGGGGGCTACCAAATGCTACATTTCCCTAACAAATTCAACATTAGGTGCTGAATTTTCCGAATGGCAAAACTAGCAAGATATTCGGGATATTTCTAGTATTAAGTTTCTTCATGACAAACTAATACTAAAGTTCTCCTAGTCACACACCAAAGTAATTTTTACATGATCTACAACATCTACATTGTCATTTCAAGTGCAAAGAGGCAGGCAAAACATGAAGAACATCACCATGAATATTCACGCACAAGTAGTACTCAAAAAAGGTGATTTGCTCATTTCTTTACCAAATCAAGCAAAGTTGGTCTCAAAACACTCACAATCCAACAAACAAACAAATACAAGCAATTTTATGCAAAGAATCTCAACGATGATCAAGCAAATTGAAAACCCCCAATTCAATTTTTCAACGGTTCGTACGCATGAAATTTGACCGCTTATGCTCAGAGACAATCGAGCAATCCACAAGTAATGTCCTGCAAGTGCAGAGAATTACATTGATCATTCGACGATGTTATACGGGCGTAGTAAGTCGCCAATATTCCAAGCCTCTCAAGATTTCGTAATCTGGCAATGTCTTATGGGCATAATGAGTTGTCTATCATCCAATGATGTCCTTTGGGCATAGCGAATCATTCATCATCTATCCAGCAATGTCCAACGGGCGAAGTGAATTGTTAATCATCTATCCGACAATATCCTATGGACATAGTGATTTGTCAATCAATCCGGTGAAGTCCTACGGGCATAGCGAATTGTCAATATTACAAGCTTCCAACAGTGACCCACAGGCGTATCCGATATCGATACACTGATGCCAAATACGCATTTCTATCCTTTATTCTTTTATCTATGGAACTAACGCTATTTCTACAAGCATCGGCGTAAACATAAAGAATTAAAATCGCAAAACGTTTTAAATCACTCTCCGTCCCAATCGACTACTTTCACTATCGTTTTCGAAACTTATGCATTTACAAACTCTGTTGACACCTAATCGTGTCTCCCCCACTGAAACTCGGTGATGAATGACCTTTAACCGCTAATTGGTCAAGTTGCGCAATGAAACTAAAATTGCTTGAAAATCTACCGTAAGCCCGTCCATTTTCCCTTTTACCATTTTCCTTTTAGCCTAAATCACAATCTGAGACTTTTCTCTCTCCATTTTGAGCCCAAACCCACCTAAACCTATTTACACAACCTCAATCAAGCCTAATTACCTAAGCCTTAACCTAACCCTAATTCGTATTAATCAGAAAACGCGTTTAGAGTGGCCGTCAAGCATGATTATCTTCGTAATCTAGTGAAATTAGCAAAATAAAACATTTCGCTGCAATAGGGTTGCACCGCGACACGGCACAACGCACTGCATCACGGCACAATGCACTACGCAATGGAAAAAGTGTCGTGTTACGGTACACGTGATTCTCCAACGGTTCAATTAATTTTTGCACGACATCTCTTTTTCTCACCCTAGCCCATAAATACGACCCTAATCCTAGGATTTCAGACAACAACAACCAACAATACGTAGCAGAACAAAATTATTCGACCCTAAAATTACCTTTAGATCATCATACAACCTAATCCGATAATCGCTTTCAAACAATTTGAAGTCCCTTTGAAATTCTTCTCCTAATATCAAACGTAAAAAGTAGAATTTGTGAGAGTTTAGGTCGACGAAACACAATTAGGTGTCTACAATACTCCATATTAAATCACTATTCAAAATTAGCCAAAAGTCTTACTCCATTAAAGAGACAGAAAGATGTACATTTGGCTAGCCATGAGGCATAAGAATCTACACAAGAAAGGCTCGGCCAACTCATATGTTGATTACGGATTTTTTTTTCCAATGACTTTTTTAAATCAGAAAGGCAGAAAACATTTGGGCAACCATAGGGGGTTTTCAAGCTCGGATAATGTAAAATATTTCTCAAAATGATTTTATTTTTTGCACATGGTGTTACAAATTATAGAACACTGTAACCAAAAGAGCAATTGAGGCTAGAATATCTAGTAAAACAGGGATGAGAAAGATGCTTAAAGCAAAACGATAATAATCTCAGAAGGTAACATACCATACCCTGTGATGGAAGGGAGATCAAACAGTAAAGAGGATAAATTTGGGTCCATGCCAATAGCTGTTCCACAGTCTGATCTCTTGTAAAGTCTCTCATATGCTTTCACATGCTTTGGCTCCACTAATGGCAATACCAAGATGCAGTATGGTCCCTTCACATGAAAAATTAATGGCCATAACATGTAGCCCTCTCCTTCTTCATGATCAATATGGAGACTTATAATGTGGCGCACAATAGGGTCATCAACCCAGGAATCTGACCCCTGAACTGATTCAGCGACACGTATGCCAGAACCACGAGCAGATCCCTCCCTGTTACAGTACAAAATAACTAATTACATCATCATAAAGACTGCATGGTGAAGCTTTGTTAAACAGACAAATTGGAGGCACTAAACACACAGAGCTCATTACATATCATAATAGGACCACTCACCCTCACATATATCAGACTTACCAAAACTAATACGAAGTATAAAATTTGAGCTAATGCACAAGAAAAAAAGGAGATAAATAAAAGAAGCAAAATACATATCCCTACACACATGCACACAAAACATGGTTGTACACACACAACAATGAGATAGAGAATTAGAGACAGGGAAGATCCCCAAGGCATAGAATACTAGGAAACCTTTATGTTTCTTCTGATGAAAACTTGAGCATGAATTAACCCCTATTATGTTTGCCACAAAAAAATGAGTATCTAGCTTCATCGCTTTAAATAAAAATAAGTTACAGAGTAATCAAATGTTACTGTAAGGGTTTTTTTTTTTTTTTTTTTTTTTTTGTGAGTGTGCGCACGTGTGTAGAGAGAGCCACAAAGGAAAAAATGATATTTATGGGATTTAAGTTCAAGTCTTGGGTATTAACGTACACAGCTACCACCACCAAGACTTAACCAGCTAAGCTAATCCAAACCTATCAAAGAGAACAAAAAAATAGTTGATAGAAATGCCTCTAATTAAGCTTCCCTAATATTATTATTATTATTCTCTCACTTACATATGCCTTTAAGTGTAGTACTTATTATACATGGCAATTTCAAGTTTAGAGTCTTTCCTCATTTTAAATTGATTGTCTTCCGTTAAATAGCATATTTCAAAAATAAATTACTTCTTATGCATTTACTTTATTGCTCTCCTAAACTATTCCTATTGTTTATGAAAAGTCAACTAAGAAAATTTCAGTAAGATAGGAGCAGTTCATCGTAAGCCGTGTATCTATTGACATTTCCCATTTCCATAGGCATCTGTTTCTTCTCCACATCACATTTATCATATAACATGATCACGATAACCCCGCAAATATTCAAACTTTTTCCTAGTTTCATTTCCTAGAAGTCAAAATCTATCCAAACAATATCTTATTCAGGAACTTCGATACGATTACCGCATTTCATTTATCCAATTTCAACACATTTGAACCAGATAATGATCACAACAATATTAAAATTTCTAAGCAACACAGCATAAATTTATCATCATCAATATATAATTTAGTTCAAAAACCTCTTCCTCCGATTGGTAAACGCCTCGGAAAACTCCGAATCATTGGGAAGCGAAGTCGATACAGTAGGTTTATCATCATTGTTTTCATCCACAACTTTCTCAGTCTTCGATTTGCAGGCAGCACGCCATCGGCGCTCAACAGTAAGAAACCTCCTACTCAAAAATCAGATCAAATTGTTGTTAATCGAATTGAAAATTTCGATATTAGGTTAAGCAGCGATGAAATTGACGATTAAACACACAAAATAATCGATAATGTTAGGGTTTACAAATGTAAAATTTGAGCTACAAAATGATGAAAATGGAGGATGAATGAAGACTGATAACCTGGAGAAGACGACGAAATCGACATTGTTGAGAATCCAAAGAGCTCTGATGTTGCACTTGCTGCTGATGTTGCTCGTCGTCGTCGGCATGATGAAGAGATTGATGTTTGAAGCTGTTTTGATTTTCAGTTTATTGTTGAAGGGTCTCAAAACAGAAAGGGAATTTTTTTTTCTTTTTTATTTATCACTTCGTATTTTTTTCGGAGGGCATATAGATAGCCTCATAGCCACAAAGAACAGTGACTCGGTGCTACCAAATTATCAAGTGACATAGATGAAATTTGATACATGGTCCATGATAACTTGATCACTACACGCATTACTCCGTATTATTTTTATTGTAGATTTTTAGTCATTGCTCACATGTCATATTTGGAAAAATACGAAGTTTGTGATTCTAAACATCCTATGTAATTTTAATTAATCGTGTGTCAAACTTATACGACTAATTATTGTCACCTATCTTTCCAACATACGGAGTATATAAGTGAAGTACACATTGTTGACTCCTAATGTTAAATTAGGCTATTGCTAGCAGATGAAATTAAAGTATGGTATTATACAATACCTTTTTATACTAAAAATCATTATCGTTGTACTTGAGCTTAGGTTATGCAAACTCTCATAATTCACCATGGTCCATGCTTATTATGGTACTATTTTGAAATTGTAGTATAGGAGTTTTAGAAATCATGGTAATTATATAATTTTTTTACTCAGGTTCGTCTTCAAAAACTAATAACCTAAACATTTTTTCAGGACTAAGGCTATATTTATCATCAATTCAATTCATTTGTCATTTACAATTGATAACCAACAACAAAACATAAATCAAACAAAGCCACACAATTTTTCAAGACTAACTTTAATTAATTGCTCATGTAAGTACTATGAGTGTTCAGTTTTTTTTTTTTTTTTTTTTTTGGAGAATGATCCTATCGATTCGAAACCTCTCACAGATTAACTACCTCGCCCAGGTTAGCGTACTAGGTCCTTAAGAAGTGGAGAGAAATGATTAAGAAATTTCCACCCTAAAGTGGCTCTATTAGTGAAGCTTGAATTGATCCCACAACTTCATGATTGTGATATGCAAATCTTTCTACATAACTCCAAACAATATAAAGTAATTCCAAAACATGTGTCACACAAATTAAATGAAGTTTACTCTCATAATTCAAGAGAGTTATTAAACATAATTCCAAGAGCAAGCAAATCCATGAAAAAAAAACACACACACACCAAGGGCATATATGACCTTGGATTGTAAATTTAAGTTTCAAAGCATAAAAAAGTATGGGCATAAATCTAACAACTTTTGAAATAAATTAGCCCACTAAACTCGAGCATAAGTAAAACTAAGCACACACTCTTCTTTAGGTGGCTCTTCTTCCTTGCCTTTGATTGCTTGAGATCTTTCTGGTTCATATTGCTTCCAAACTTGTTGAAGACCACCAAGTGTCATTGTTGGAGACATTATTGGAAGCCCTCTTAACATTACTTCTATCTATATCACATTAATAATTCACTAATGTTAAATCATCTCATATGACATTCATATATAGTATGTTTAAATTATATATAATATATAATGATGTATATATGCTTTATAATATACCAAGATCATAAGCAAGATTTCAAATGTTTCACCAAATGGGTCATTGACTTGAATGCAAGTTTTTACCGATTAGTGATTACCCTTCTAACTTTATGTCGACATGAATGAACTTACTTTGTTCCGATGAAATTAATAGTTAGTTTTCAATTTTTATAAATTTAGCATATATATCTAAATTGGGGTGTGTGTTGACATGTTGTATTGTCATGCACTCATTTACTAATAAATGCTCTAAGTTATTCAATCTTTTGCTTTAGGAACATTTGAGTGTTATAAGAGTATATGTAAGAGTTTACATAATTAGCATATTTATATTATTAGTTATGCATAATTAATTCTAGGATGACTGCTTTACAACTTATGCAATCTTTTTTTTACAATCAGTTACAACAATAACTATGATTTTTTTTTTACACGGTAAGGTCAATCAGGCCCCAACCGAAGGCTCCTATCACAGAAAACCTAACTAGCAATGTCCTAAAGGGGTAGGGGTGGAATTTGTTGCTGATGAGGATCGAACCTCGCACCTCGAGGATGCGAGGCGACCTCTTGTACCACTACACCAAGAGGCCTCCCTCCTACAAAAATAACTATGATGTCTATGAATGAAGTTCTACTTAATCAATGAGTTTAAAAGAAGGTGAAAAAGCATGGCATACCTCTTCCTTCTCCAGATTGAGTTTGGTTGCAATAAACATCTGGACTTTTTCAATTGTTATGTCTTGATATTAGTGGCTTTCTCATTTTCTCATTTCTTATTCTAGCAAATCCATATATATATATATTTTGAAACTATTTTCCATAAAACTTTATAAAAGAAAATACATGCATATCTTCCATTAACCACTTTTTTATTCAAATGAATGAATATTTTCATGACATGATAAGGAAATGAAGAACTACACTATCAAGAAATAATGCATGATATAATTCAAATACTTACCATGCAAGAATATGGGGGCTCGTCAATGGTGTTAGTGTGCCTCCATTCCTATCATTAATGAAATAATGCATAAATCATCCCAATCAAATCGGCAAATACAACGAATAAAATTTTCTATCACTAAAGTATATAGAAGCTACTCTAACCATAATTCCTTCATTCTTATGTACAATTTTTATTTATGTTTTATTTTTTATCATACATGATCTAATAATTAAACATGCATTAAATTCTATTAATAAAAATTTACCGATACAATCTCTTATAATTTCCATCAAGATATTAGCTAAAATGCATTTAAAACGAGCTAGTACATATGTTTTTTTAATATTTGCTAAATATAGTATGTAAGTATGATCTTACCTGTTTTCAGAAGGAGATAAGTTGAACCAAACTTGTCCGTTTGCCTTTGGTCGCTCGGATGTAATATATACTACTTCGTCTTCATCCGGTAGCACTGGTTCTGGTACTTGTATCAGTGGTGGTAATTCCGGCATTGGATCCGGTGAGGGTGCAATCTGATCAGGCTTTGCTATCTTTGGCTGACATCGCTTTCCAATCTTCCTAGCAGGCCTAGGGTTTACAAGTTTCTCTTCATGGTAAAGTATTTTCTTTTTCTTTCCTTTATCTTTCGGATTACAAGTTACCATTTCTTTACCTTTGCCCTTTGAACCACGAATAGTACTAACATTCTTCTTGTTAAGATCATAGGATGTTGGTGCTACAATTTCTTTATGTTTGCCCTTCGAATCACGAATAGTACTAACATTCTTCTTGTTAAGATCATAGGACCTTGGTGCTACAACCTCCTCTTCCTCGTCTTTGGAAGGTGTATCACTAGGATTAATAGCTTTATTCTTGATATGATCATGTGTTGGTGCATTCTCTTCTATAAGCACATTTGGGGGCTCATGGGTATTCTCATTCTTAAGATCAATTATTATTTGTGCAATCTCTTCATCTGTAGACAGATTTAGGGGCTCGTTTAAATCAACTGCTCTTATTTTTGTCGCATTTATAATTTCACCTTCAGCATTTGTAATTACATCTTCAGCATTGATTTGATTGGTGTCCTGGTTACATAATTACAAGTCAATATTTTCTTAATTACTGTTTGAAAATTTTCTTAATTTAAATTATGTATGAATTGATGTTCTCGTTGAAGAGGAAATTAAAAGAAGCTAAGAACAATAAACAATGCAAATATGAAAGAAGTATTCTATATATGTGCAAAATTAATTATCACATTATTACTGGCATTTTCTAAATAATAATTATAGTCATGTTTCGTAATTAGTGGTAACTATTTTCCTATTTATTCCTAACATGTACTTTTCTCATGGAAATTTATGCAATTGGAGAAAGAGGGTAGTGTGTGGGTGTAAGAAGTAGATTAAATAAGAGAGAGTGTAAAAATATGAGTGGGCGTAAGAAAAATAAAAAATGTGTAAAAAAGTAAGAGAAATAGTGCAAAAAAAGTGTAATAATGTGAGGTAATGCAAGATATGGGGTTTGCCAAAAATAAAATAAAGTGAGTTAGATGAACTTTAAGCAACATGCCACTTAATGTGGGAAGTTTTTAGAACATTACTCGCATTCTTTGTGATAGACTCTGGATTGCTTTCATCTTCATCTATGATAGTTGGAGGTTCGTTTAGGTTAAACGATAGAATTCTTTGTGGTTTTCTATTAGCAATTGCTATATCTCCATCGTAAACCTGCTTTAACAAAAATCTTTAGTTAGAGTAAAAGATATTTTTTTAAAATGCATAGATTACTCAAGAAAATGAAATATATATATGATCTTGAAGGGGAAATAATGAAAGACTAGTGTGAATCAAACCATACATGTGGAATGAGCAATTATCTTGTATTCACAGGGCATCTATATATTCATTTAAAACTTCTATTGAAATATGTGGATAAAGTTAGAACTATAACATTCGTTGATTAGTCTATGTTCTTTTCAAATTATAAAATCAAATCTGATTAGTAAAAATTTATTTTAATCATCCAAAATTTCAACCTTGATTTGCATCAATTTTGGTAATCTAGTCGACAGCACAAATATTTACAAGATGCTTGGAACAAAAGCAATAACACATCAGAGAACATTGAAAGTTTGAAACTCTGAAACTCTTGTATCATCCTACCATAATCCTAATTCCAAGTAAATTTGGTAAATAGACTTGTATTACTTTATTTATTTATTTTTAAAAAAAATGGTAAATAGACTAGTATTGGCCTATTGGGTAACATACAACCATTTAATTATACAATAAAAGTTAGTTTGCGTCATATAAAATCAAACCCCAAAAGTAAACAAAAAAAATAATACTTTGTAATGAAAGTAAGAATAAGATGACAACACTATCTAGATATAGGGTACTAATTTTCGCTTTAAAAATTTGCTATGTATAATTAAAGCTAAAATATGATGTAACTCATACAAAGTCAATTCTAATAATTAGAAGTAAAAAAAATTATGAGTAATAAAAATTAGTTGTGATCAACAAAACAAACATAATTAGTAAAAATTACTTTTGACTGATAATATAAACCAAAGATAACATACTTTGTGTACGATTAATTGGAAAAGGTGATAATCAACTCATATAAGCAAAATAAGAAACTAGTGACAATTCATGACATGGCGAAAAAAATCAAGCAAATAAAACTTGTACGAGTAATAAAAATCATAAACTAGATTATTATACCTGATTTTGTTGGGGTATAACATTCTCGGGAGGATTTGATGAAGATGCTTCATTCTTGTGACAGGATTGTTCATCTTTTTTACTTGGCTCATTGTTGTTAAG